TTGCAATTCAGGTTCTGATGATGAAGTTTTTTTTGCTGATTCTGATTAACTTCATCATTATTGGTTAGGTTCATTTATTTATCAAATGACCCTGGGTGGAAAGATTTCACTGAAGAAAAGAGAGAGAAATGTGATTAATTTTGATCCGATAATTTAGCAAAAAGAAAGAGAAATAGAAACAACTTTCTTCATCTTCATCTTTCGTATTTGGTGTATCAGGTAGAGAGAGAGAGAGAGAGAGAGAGAGAGAGAGAGAGAGAGAGAGAGAGAGAGAGAGAGAGAGAAGATGAAGAAAGTTGCATGGATTTAACTTGGAACATAAATTACGTATTAAAAGATATTCATCTTTCCTCCCTCCTCATCTCTTTTCCTCTCATTCTCTCTCATACCTGAGTTGTCTTTCTTTTCCTCTTTCATATCTCAATTTCAATTTATCTTCTTCTCTTCTTCACCCCTGCAACAGGTAAAAAATTCATTCAACACTCATTAACATTATGAATATAAAAATAAGTAATTTCTCTTTCTTTTTTTCTTCTTCTTTTGGTCATCTCTTTATACTATTAATTGCCTTGCCAGGTAAGTTTTACCTTCTCTCCCCATCAATAGTATTCATAACAAAGTTACACTATTGATAATCTTATTTATCTTTCGGTTTTTTCTTTCTTTTTTCATCATCATAATAATTCAGCTTCTTCATTCATTTCTCTCTCTCTCTCTTTCTTAATTTCAATAACTCCTTCTCTCAATCATCATGAGGTTTATCCTGAAATCTCAGCAAGTAAAGGTTCAAATAAGAAGTAAAAAAGTAACTACAAACAAGAAAAAAACAAACAAAAATCACCAAGAAAATTGAAACACATTAAATACATTGAATCAAATAGCGTAAAAAATTAAATATAATGTTTCAAATAGGAAGAGAGAGAGAGAGAGAGAGAGAGAGAGAGAGAGATAAAAACAAAAACAAAAAGCTCATCAATTTCATGATGATTATCAGTCTGATAGTTATGATCATTTCTCATCAGGTAAATAATACAAGACGGAAACATGAGCATGTTGATTTGTTAATGCATTCAACTCAATTCACATCTTAATTATTTAATTTGATCAAATTAACTTTATAATAAATGAATCGATATCTTCATAATCATAATCATTACCAATAACCAGTACTTGTATCAACAGATAATCAGATATAAAAGATAATCATTGTCCATAACAATTAGACACAATTAAGATACAGCTAATTAGAAGGCAACAATAAATATTATCATTATTCAGGTAAAGATCTGAACTTTAAAATAAAAAGGGATCCACCTAAGAGACAATCCCACTGCTAATTTTGTCCCCGGCGGACAAAACATGATGATAAATAAATAAGGTAAATATAAATAATAATTTGTAAAAGGGTAATCAGTTAATTGCCCAAATTAAAATAATAATAATGATCAACAATTAGCAATCAATTGGAAAACCGCTATTTCTAGATGATGAATTTCATCAATCCGGAAATTTTCATCTCTCTCTCACTTCATCATCCTGAACATCATGAGCTTCCTTAACCTTGTTATTTACAGGTTTCTCATCATCTTCATCTTCATCTTGTTACCTGAAAATTTGTTCACTTTATTATGATTCTGATTCTGATTTACTGATTATAAATGGATTCTGATGGTTTGGTATATGCATTAATCAGTAAATTAATCAAGGATCGTTGAAGTGAATTTTAATTATTTGGATCAGTAGCAACAGTGTTTAAATTACCTTTCTTTTCATATTAAGCTAATGAGAGGTTGCAATTAATTATTATTATTATTGCTAATCATTAATAACATTATTATGATTATAATTATTTTTTGTTTGCTTCTTGATTGTAATTAATTTGTTTGACCTTGTTTTATGTTTACAAGTTAAAAACTGAATTAACTTTCAATACAAATTAACTATATTTCTGATGGTGGTGATGTTAATTGTAATCGTTTGCAAATGAATATGATAATTTATGATAACATTAGATTAACAATCATGATTGTGATTGAAATTGCAATTAAATTAAGTGTTACTTTTTCTTAGGTAAAAAAAACAACAAAAATCAACAAAAAATTTTAATGCAATTAATTGATTAACAAGAAACTCTTGTTGATTCTGTTGATTTGTAAATTTTAACAATTTGCAAAACTAGTGCAATCATCATGATGTTAATTAGTTTTCAACTGAAAGAAAATGAAAAAGTAACTTAAATTGTTTTAATTATCAACAATTAAAAGGTTCAATGGAATAAGATAATCAGTGAATGATTAATTAATCTAATTGTTAGTAAAAGTTTTGAAAACTTTTTTTTCTCTATTTTCATTTTCTTCTTCATCTTTAATTGTATTTAATTCCTGCTAATTAATAAATTATGCTAATTGAGACTTTGATTATCATCAAGGACATCATCATGTTGAATTTTAATTAATTATGATTATTTACACTCCAGCATCAATTGTTAAGTTACCTTGGCTTGAGAAATGGCACTTTGTCATTTGTTTTGTGTGAATTAATCTTTAGCTTTCACTTTAATTGTAACAATTTAGATGAACATAGAATCATAATCAGCCCATTTAATTGTTACAATGAAAGTAGAGGGAAAAAAGTTCATTATTATCATGAAAAGTGGGAACGATAACCTTTCCTAAGGAAGATGAGGATAACCAAATGATAATTTCAATTCTCAATTGTAATTTTCAGGTGATGAATGAATAATTGTGAATGGGAGAGCATGTTAATCATCAGAAAAACAGGTAATTCTAATTGTGATTGAATTTTTCATCATGATAATCAGAAAGTGATTTCATCATCATCATCATCATGCCATCTATTAAGATGTAAGTTAATTAACTAATGAAAATTATCTCAACTCATGGAGACTCAATTGAAAATTGTTCTCCCTCAGTTTCTCTCTCTCTCTCTCTCTCTCTCTCTCATCCTTTTTAAAAGGGAGAGAGAGAGAAAAAATTGTAAATTCTTGTTGATTCTAATTTTTTCCTTTGATTATTTCTCAATTATCTCTCCCTCTCATCTTCATCACTTTATCTTCATCATCACTTGCCCCCAACTCACACCGATTACCAAGTAATTAATCATAACATCAGATGATGATAAAGATGAAGAAACAATTTCTCTCTCTCTCTCTCCAACTTAACTCATCATCCCATGGCTACTGAATTTTTTTAAATGAAAACCTTATTATTATCATTATCATCATCGAATTGATTAACATCTCAAAGAAGAAGATGAGAAATTAACTAACTAATCAACTAAATCTCATCTTCTATTCGGTTAGTTGATTAGTTTAAATTTTTCTTCTTCTCCTTGATTGGAATGAGATGAAGCAGAACAGTAGCTTTTCTTAGTTACCTGTAAATTCCTGTAAACATAATCATCATCTTCATCTCCATCTTCATCCCAAAAACCGCAACTTGTTCATAGTTACGCTGACCTTTTCTTACCATTATTTAACATTATCATTATTATATTATCATTATGTTATATTATATGATAGATTACCTGAATTAGCCGGTTACTATTAACAACAACAGGTAAAAGTTAATGTAAAAAAAAGTCAAGGTAACAAAGTTAGAGAGGAAACTCAAAATGATACAAATTAAGGTCATTCATTTGAACACCTTAACACTGCTTCATCTTAATCATTTTCATCCCTATCATCCTTAAGAGGGCTCATCATGATAATAATGATGATGATGAGGCTACAGATCATGTAATTTTCTGTTAAATCATAATCCAAAATCAAAAGGACTAATTACTTATTATCATTATGATGAATCAAGTGGCTTACCAATTCAACTTCATCTCTCTCTCTCTCTCTCTCGTTTTTGATGTAACCGTGAAAATTTTGTTAACCTACACCTTGATTACTTTCAGTGGATTTATATTCATTATCTATTGGTGTCTGCCAACTGACACTCAGGTAAACATGTATATTCAGCTACCTGATGATGATGATGATGATTGAAGATGAAGATTAATCTCTCTTGATGTTTGGTGTGTGTTAAAAAACATTTGCAATTATTATTTATATTGATTGAAATTACTTTTGACTTGTTATACCATTGATTAGTTAATCACTTTTGGTGATGATGATTAACACCCGATTGTGTTTGACGCTACAAGATTATATCATCATCATCATCGCCCCTGTAACTTTTCAGGGGGCTTGATATTAAACAGATACCTGGTGAAAACCTTTAAAGAATCATTATCACCATCATCATCTTCATCATCTTCCTCTTCTTCCTTAATCAATCTAACTGATAACTTTATCAATCGTTTTCTTTGGTTTCTATCAAATGGCAAAACTTTACTTGATGATTTATCAGAATTTGAAAGACCACAACTTTCAATAATATTATTACTATTATTCAGTTCTGAATCATGAAATCATGGGAGAGAAAACTGTTCCTCACTCGTAATGAACATAAAATTAACAAAGAAAATAGATGCTGATGATGATGATGATGAAAGTGAAATTTATTCAGTTAAATGTTAATCATGATAATCATTTAGATCTAATATATAGAATTGAGAGAGAGAGAAACATAAATGTACCAAAAGAAAATCGTGTTCAGAATAATTAATCTGGAGAAATAATCACAATTAAGATGATGAGGATGCAGAAAAAAAATCTACCCAAAGACTAACATTACATTAAGATTTCAGGTTCATCATTTTGCAATTGATTGTGAACATTTTTTTACTGTTATTATTGTAATTCCAATGACAATTTGATTGTCAGTTTGATTGCAAATTTGAGGCAATTAAATTGCAACAATCAAGACACATTCTGAATTACATAAAAGTCAAATGATCCAAAGTGACATTAAATAACATTCAATTGATATTTTCATCTTCATCATGATAAAGGTAATCAAATAGTTGATAGTTTTTCAAAATTTTACCATTTGATTGAATAAAAATTTAAAAAGGTGAGTGTTTATAGTTACCATGAATTGAATCAATTCAACTGAATTAAATTGTGTCCTATGAATGTGTCCCTTGGTAAACCATTGAACCGATCACTGAATCCAAATCAAATATATAATACAGAATCTAAGGAAAGAAAGAGAAAGAGAGAGAAGATGATTAGAAGATGAGGAAAAAGATGATGATGAGAATACTTAGAATGATAAAAGAAGAGAAAAAAAAGAAAATGAATGCGAGAGAAAAATCTAATGTTCTTTCAACCAATTTGTTTCAACTTCTTGAATAATCTTTCAATGGATTCAGTTGATGATGATGAGGATGATAACTGACCAGAAATAAATTTGCTTCTCTTTCCATCATCATTATCTCATGTTGTCTCATATTCATCATCATCATCATCATCCGAATACTCTGAAGGAATCAATGGAAAACATTTTATTCCATTAGATTTGCAATGGATTCTTTTTTTGCTTTGTCTTCAAATCCGGAATTTGATTGAACTCAATGTATATTTGTTAGTGAAAAAAAAGATAAGGTGGGAGGAAGATGAAGATGAGGATGGAAATAGGAGTGAGTAAATAACTGGACACTACTACTGGTCAACATAGTGAATTTGCCATTTGCTTTACAGTAAAAAAAAACTACATTTTCAACATGAATCAACATCTTATATTGAAGGGGAGAAAAAGTTTTCCAACATGTTTACATTTCCATCATCAATTGATGACAATCTTATCATCATCATCATCGTCATCTTCATTTGTCCAGTTTTCCCATTCTCTTTATTTTCAAGAGAATTTTTTTCTTCCTTGACCAGTTCACTTAATTTTGACCATTCGCATCCATAGAAGGAGATTTTCCCTCTTCTTTCATCTTTATTGAAATTCCAATAGACAATAGATGATGATGATGATGATGAATAATCTTATTGATCTTAGATGACCATCAATGTTACATTTCATGATCAACACTCACAAATTGCAATAAATAAATGAATTAAATGGTAACAATTGATTGACATCTAATATCATCTTCATCAGTTATCATCATAATCATGAACAATTGATAAGTTTACATCATTTAGTTTTTAATTCACGTTTTTTTTTTTCAACTCACTGTAGTTGTTTTTTACCTGTAACATTTTAACACTAAATGATAATCAAGTAAAATTTACTTATCATCATAATGATTATCATGATTATCTTATCATTATCTTTCTAATGTAATATTTACCTGAGTTTCTTACCTTTATCACTTCAAGCCTTTTAACAACAATCAACTTCTATCAACATCATTACCATCATAATCATTTTAATGGTTTAAATAAATTGCAAACCATTTAATTGGCACAACAGAGGGAGAGAGATGAATACCTCCCTAATTATCATCTCTCTCACTCTGTATCCTCATCATGATCATCCTTTCATAATCTTGAACAATTTTCAACATCAATCAATAATAACTATATTATAATTATAATGTTAACAATTAAAAATGATTAAACCTGTGAAGTTAACATCAATCAACAATCAATGAGTAATCATAAGTCATCATGATAAATACATTATCAAGTAGGATGGTGATGATAAAAAGATGAGGATGATAGAGAGAGAGAGAGAGAGAGAGAGAGAGAGAGAGAGATGAAGATAAGACAAAAGGTTAATTCCTTTTTGCTTCTTCTATCACAATTTAGACTTTAATCTAAACAATTAAAAATAATTCTCTCTATCCGGAAGTCTTTAAATCAGCAATTAATAAGTTAACAATTAAAAGGAAAGTTAATTTTTTTTCCTTTTCTTCTAATCAATATAACCCATGATAGTTGATTAGAAATTGAACAATTAGTTTTTTTTGTTCAATCTAATACATTGACATGGCACCGATGAGCAAAGGTAATTAACTTTTACAGATTCACAAAAATTAAAAGGTTCATGTTGATTGTTTCAATCAACATCATTACAATCAAGGTGAAAAAATTAAGGTGATGATGATGATAAATGATGAAAACATGAGAGAGAGAGAGAGAGAGAGAGAGAGAAACAAGTAAAATATTATTATTTTAAGTTGATTCTTGTTCATGATCATCATCATAATCAATGAATTGGTTTCTTAACCTTCATCAGTAAATACAAAAGATGATTAAAACCCAATCCTAAATTGCAATACAAATTAGTCATCTGATGATGAGGATACAGAGAAGAGAAGAAGATGAAAATGATGATAAAGATGAAAATTGTTCAATAAAATTGATTGCAATTCAGTTAAGGAGCTTCTGAATTTGGTGAAAACTGAAAGGAAAAAAATTCTGATTAATTAGGATCATGATTAATGCTATTGTATTGCTGCTGCTGCTGCTGATATTTTTATATCCTTTCAACTTGTTAGCCAATTTATTATTATTATAGTTTATTATTATTACCAATTTAATAATTTATTAAATTTTGATTTATTTCCATAATAATAATTTTCAAAGTTAATCCAATGGATCCAGAAGATGAAGATTAAAATCAATGATTGACCAAATTGGCTTAAACCAAACACACTCACATATACACATTAAACTTATTGGGAAAACATAAATTATTACATAAACAATTTAATCAGGTAGCTTTAATTATTATCAATCACAGGTAGATATTATCATCAACAAGATGATGAGCATGATAAAGGCAGGGGCAGTTATCATCCTCTTATCTTCATCATCAATATAATGGGGATGATTCTGGTTTTTCTTGGTGTATAATAAATAATTACCTTAATGTGGATACTCATTATTATGATGATCATCATCAACAATTTGAATCAACAATTTAGTTGCATTTTTTTTTCTATTAGTTAAACTTGGAGAAAAGCAATTTAAATTAACTAACAGTAAGAACATTAATTTAGTTGATTACCAAAGTGGTAGTGATAAATGTTAATCGTTAATCTTGATTTCGTATTTGTTTCTCTCTCTCTCTCTTGCCTTTGATTTAGTTTCAATTGTTTCCCGTTTGTTTAACACAAGGGATGATTCAGATTCTTATCAGAACTTTTTTTCCTCTCTGGTTTATACTTCATGCTAATTCAATTTAATTATCATTAATCATGACAATCATGTTTCCCCTTTACCCTTAGTTAAATAATTAACTCAAGGGACAATTAAATTTTCAATAAGAACTTATTGTTTACTTCATGAGTTACAGTAGTTGGAATAACATTAGATGAATTGTTTTATTTTTCTTTGCTTTCGGTTTACTTTCATTTTCATGATCATTTAATTCATGATGATATTCAGAACACATTGAAATGATAATAGAGGGAAAGATAATCAAAAGTATGTTAAGTTAATGGTGAAATACTTGTTGAGACTCTCAAGTGAAAATGAGTCTTCATATTATCATGATTTTTGCTTATTATTGAAAAACTCACTTGGAATCACAATGATAATTGGATAACTGACCAATTGACCAGAATATCCATTCATATATATAAAATACTCTCTCTCTCTCTCACCAATCTCAATTTTTCATCACCATCATCATTATCATTATTATCACTATTAGTTTTTTTTATCTATTTACCGTTAACATTTTCACCCGATAACTTTCACTTTCCCTACATCATCATATTATATCAGTAAATGTACCTGAAGGGTCACTTGGGACATTTTGACTTGAATGTCCAGTAGCTTGTATGTTTTTCATCACATTTATATATATCTAAAAGTGACCAATGGCTTTTTGAAAAAAATAAAACAGTTTTTACGGTCACTTTGGGTGCAGTTAAAGGTCAACATTGTTTGTAGACTCGTATGAATATAATAATACAACTTTTAATGTAATAAAACATATTATTTGTTTATTTTTGGCTCCATTCAACTAGTATTGTTGTTGTTTTTTATTTCATTCACCCTGAAAATCATGGATCAATCTGTAGGTGGGTCATCATCATCATCATCACCATGAACAACAACAACAAAAGTACCGTTAACTTTATACTAGTATATGCATTGGATATGAAACAAAATCCCATTGAGATTTGAATCCAACCAGTTTTAATATGTAATATTATACATCAATATAATCAGTGATAGAAACAAATATAAGATAAAAAAAAAGTTCAATAACATTTGAAATAAACATTAGGTGATTATTGGGTATCTGTATGTTTATATATGTACCATGAGATTAAACTGTCACCCACTGTCCAGTGGTCATTACAACTTTAAGAGCTTAAGGTTTTGCTTTTTATTTTTTAAACACACGAGAGGAAAAAAAGTTTACTTTTCAACTTAATTCATTTGTCCACCAGACAGAAACAATGGTCAAGCCATTAAAGACTGATAAAGGTAATGTATCACAATCATTATTGCTATTTAATGATTATCATCCTAATCATATTGGTCAGTTTATTTTTCTTTTCACATCTCATCCTTTTTTTATTATCATCATATTCTGACCATCAAGATTTAACTTTAATTTAAGGATAACTATGAGTCGATATATAGATTATTGGTCAGCTTATTATTAAGTGACCAGGCAAAGGGTTTTGGACAAAAGATAATCCATTGAATTGAATCATGGAAATGAATCTGAATCTTTTACTCTACTTCAAGCTCAACAATAACATTGAACAACATCAATTTTTTCAGAACTTTATCTTAAATAGATGAAAATTCTGATGAACAACGTTCTTTACTCTGAATTCAAAAGAGAAAAAAATTCTCTGTTATGTAAGGTCTCTCTCTCTCTCTCTCTCTCTCTCTCTCTCTCTCTCTCTTTCTATCGTTCTCTATTTCTAAAGATTCTGTAGATTATTATTATCATCATCATTATTCTTATTCTTTCTTTCGTAGCTCATGGATTAACTATAAAATCCTCATGAAATAAATGTTGATTCTCTTTTTTTCCTCAGAATTATTTCCACCCTGAATCCTCATGAGCTTAAACTTTAATAAATGTTATATTACCTTGTAAAAAACAAGCACATAGAGAAAGAGAGTGAGCCTCATATTAGATAATAATAATAATATGTAATATATTTCATTCCTTATCTCAATTTCCTTTGGTGTATCATTTTAAAATTCTGGTAGGTGGATGTTATAAGAAGGTGGAATAAATTTTTCATTCCAAACCTATAGACTA